GCCAGAACGTTTTGATGTTTCTTCTACGATTTTTATACTTATTTTTAGTTTTATTTGATTCTATATTTGATGGTCTCGTCTGACTTTTTTCTTCGTAGGTAATATTAAACAAAAGCAACTCAATACTAAAAATCAAACAAGGCTATCAGTGATTATCAATGTGAGTGAATACGATTGACTTTCCAGTATTCTTCTTTCAAACTTTCATCCAGCTGTTTTTCCTCGTCTTTTCTATCTTTTCACTAATTTCAATTCAAATAAAAAAAATACATGTTGGAAAAAATATTCCATGCATTAGACGAGCTTTGAAGTACATAAGATATTTGGATCTTCTGTTGATGTAAGAATCTTTTTTAATGTCGTTAGAACAATTTATCAGTCTATTTAAATATTGTTACTTACACGCTTTCCATGAATATCTATAAATAGAAACTGTTGAATTCTCTTTTTTCTCGACGATAATTTCTGTGTAATTCATTTTATTTGCTTTCAATATTTTGCTTTAAAAATAAATTAAGTCAAAGTTATGCATGACTTCATTCACTAAAATCATGCTCGGTTAAGTCTTGTTCTAAAATGAGCCAATTTTCTTCCCGTTTACCATATAAAACAGCTTCGCAGTGAGAAATTTGTTCAAAAACTTTTAAACCTAAACCACGACCACCTGGATTATTATTGTTTACTAGTGCTTTGTATTCGATATCAATTTTATATTGTTGATTCTATGCTTCAATTTTAGAATGAATAGAATATATATTATTATCGACAATTTGCTATTCTAGTAGTTTCAAATGATATCGATCTGCACATAGAGTTCCAGTTTCAATTCGTTGACCTTTCCAACCAATAAATATATATCAAATGTCATCATCTTCGATTGTAGGTATATGATAGCTACCTAAAACCAATGAAAATTCCTTATCAACACGATGAAACTGTGCCCAAACCCAATTAAAAAGATTTTTAGGTCAAGCTCCATAATTATGATCATGATAAGCAGTAGTATTAATAGAAATCTTTTTGTTATTATATTGGATAAATCCAGATACGTAAGCACTTGGCATATAGGCTATTCAATCTAACTCTAACAATAGAGATATTCCTTCTTTTTGTCTACAGGCATAAGATTTTTGTTGACATGTTATTCACCAACGTAATTGACCCTCTCTTTACTTCCACCAACTAATTGATACGTTGTTTGATTTAAAACCTTGATAAAAGTGCCTTTGTCAATAAAAAGTGTTGCATTATGTTTGTAAGCAGACAATTGTTCGAATGTATATGCATCTAAAATATCTATTGAATCTTGACCGGTATTGTTTGCTACTGAAGTCCATAGCATTCCAAATATCCCAGAAATTTCTGAATGAAGCGATTTTGATGGATCTGAAACGCTGTAACCAACAAAAAATCCTACATCTATTAATGAGTCATACAAAGTAAAGAACCAAAATTCTTGATACAAGACCGATAATAACGGGTATTTGTAACTGTTGTTTTTGTAAAAACTATGTGAAACCTCAAAATACTATCTGTATTTCTTTCTTTTGTTTTACCTAGATGAATATTTGACGATAAGAAAATGTTAAAACCGTTATCATCTTTGCAAAATATTATGAAAGATAAAGTAACATAGAAATAGTAATGTGCAGCTACCTAACTGAATCACATGAAGCCTGTTGTTAAAGAAAAGTGTTGCTTTAGATATAGAGCAAAGTTTCATTGTTTTCTTTATCTTAGAGCGTACTCATACAGTGAACCATAGACTTCTGATTGCTATTATCGTGGGAATTTACTTTCTCCTTTTAATCGGCGTGTCAATAGAAAATTTAAGCATATACTGCATTGCTGATCGATGCTTTTTTATTGTGTAAATATATCCATATCTTAAGTTCCATATTGAAAGTTCAATATTTACAAGGAAAAATAATATGAAAGTCAATTTATCTGTTCAATCATATTTCTGTCCGTATTTCTGAAAATGAAAGCTTTCTATTTTGCTTAGCTGGAGAGTGTGGGTGGTGAGGGTGTTCCTTTCCACTTGAAGGACACCCTCACACCCACACCCTATTCCTTATTAATGAGAGTTATATTTCATATATG